ACCCACGTCTCCACTCTCTCCTTGACAAACGATCTCACTCCGTCAGGTTCACCGATACAGCCTCCTAGGAAACGGGCGGATGTGGCTACTTGGATGTTCAGATCCCCAAAGATATCATTAGCTTGCTGAACGAGATCCGGGGAAACAATAATGATACTCTTTGTCGGCTCAACTTGGTAGCCGAAAGCTTCACCCTGATCGATAAGGCGGTCTAGCCACTTCCTGATGTTGCGCAACCGTCCCGCACAAGAAGAATCATCAGCGTACCAGTTTTGGGTGTGCTGGCTGGGTTCCTTCAAACTCTCAATCAGAGGGTGCAGACCAATGGCATACATTAGCATAGCCAGGGGACATCCCTGAGTAGTACCTTCCCGGCTGAGAAGGGTATGGACCTCGGATGTACAGGAACCTTTCAAGATGATCACAGCGTACCCACGGTAGGCGTTGAATAGAAACCTTGCGCATCTCGGCCAGAGCACCCGGCAGTTCCATAGGGCCGCGGGACGGCTTAGCGAGTTAAATGCATTAGCTGCATCGACAAGAAGGAGTCCTTCAGTGTCATCCTCGGTGAAAACGTCGCTCATAGCATGAACAGCTGCCTCAATCCCAGCTTTTGCACCCGAGCATAGCTGGTCAGCCCCACAGACCTCCTGGACATCAATTCCCGTAGCAAGGGCCATGGCCTTTGCCTCAATGCGCTGCCTGCATTCGCCCACTCCGATTGGCCGCACTCCTGGTAGCTTGTCCAGTGCAATGCCTCTCCGAGCAAGGAATGCTCGCATGTTGCACCAGGGCACGATTCCATTTGCATGTCGACGGGTTGAGGCGGCCACAGCTTCCCGCAGGCGACTGCTGGCGTTGCCATGGGATAGCAAGAACGTTCTCCACTGCTCAGAGTTGGTCCCACTGGGACCGGCACTGCCGAAGAGTCGACGGGCCACCTGTTCAATCAGTGCACCAGTGATATGAACATCCTCCAGCAGGGGCAGATCCTCGCACTCAAGGAATGCTCTTGGATCGGCGGGTTGTTGCTCCGGGTGTTTCTCTTGCAGCACATCGTACACGGTCCTACCAAGTGGGCCAGCCTTGCCCTGAGCCTCACCACCAGGGTCCAGTACACCTCCACCACATCGATCTGTGATTAGACGCACCGCGGATCTGACCCTGCCTTCGAGCATAAGACGGTTGAAGGTCCGCTCTATTTGCTCTGGCGACATAGGACACATGCTGGTCAGCAGCTGAGTATCACACCGTTGAGCCTCACGCAGTAGTTCAGAGAGGTGACCATTCTCCCACATATCCATCCGTCTTGTGAGGAGTGGCCGGATGTCCTTTCCTTTGCGAATAGATTTGTTACGTTGCAGAACGAGAGCAGTGAAAAGAAATTCATACTCTGAAGGTTGTTGGCTATTGTTGCATTTTTCTATTTCTTCAGCTAAAATGTGCTAGTTACTAAGTACATGTACATTGTACAATGTACATGTTTTACTACTGTGGTTGGATTTCACCCTTGTCTCAGTTAAACGAGTAGTCCTTTCTTGACCTCATGAACTCACTACTGCGACGATGAGCTACTTGTTATTGTTGTTGAAATCTATTTTGTATGGCAGCCAGGCATAGTGGGTTGGTCTAAGACCATGATTGAGAAACAGAGGGTACCAGGTTCAAGTCCTGCTGGGAAGCGGAAGGAATTTTTCCAGCCGTGCTGCGACCTACAGTTATTTGGGAACGTGTGGCCTGGCACGAGGGTAACATGGATGCAGCTAATGGGATTTCGGTCTTTGACCACTTGGTGGTGGGTCTGATCTACTCACCTCCCACCGTTTAGGCGCTGCATCTGCACCTTTGATCCTAGAGGGTGGTGGCGTTCCCATGACGGATGCGGAAAACTGGGCTTCCAGCCGAGTCTCACGCGAACCGTGAATTTATTTTATTTTATCGCAGACCAAACTATCATAGTTTAAATTATTACAATGTACATGTACATGTATCTACCCACTCAACAAATAGTACACGAGACACTCGAATCAGCAATTGCGCAAGTATCCGTCTCCTGTCTTCTTTGAAATGGACCATTTCGCCATGGGGCATTTCTCTACAAAAACATGATTTTCTCCATTTTTTCTGGCAAACCAAATCACTCCATTGACTTATGTATGCAATGCCTTACCTCTACATGTACATGTATAACAATATTGGTATAACGATATTACCCCCATAACGATATAAAATTGGCTGACTAATCGACATTTTCCATTTTATAACAATATTTAGCAGGGAATAATGTAGAGCTCACTATCCAGCAAGCTTCACTTGATAAGTTACTGGGAAACGACGAAATGCAAGAGGGGGGGGGGGGGGGCTCCAGTACAGTGGGCACCTTGCTGTGTACATCACTTCAATAATGACTACTACATGTATGTGCATGCACGGCAGTTTTTTACGCCATGAAGAGTGTAAATTTCACGGTTCGCGTGAGACTCGGTTTCTCTTTATAGAGGCCGACTTTTCCGCATCCGTAGGAACGCCACCACCCTTCAAGGATCAAGGCCTGGCACGAAGAAAACATGGATGCAGTGAATGGGAATGGGATTTTCGGTCTTTGACCACATGCTGGTGAGCTGATCTACTCACCTCCCACCGCTTTAGGAGCTGCATCTGCGCCTTGATCCTTGAAGAGTGTAAAAAATGAACAAAATCCATGCATTATGACGTACATGTACATTGTACATGTACATGTATGTGTATGAAATGAACCAGTTACATGTACCCTATAACAATATTACCCTTATAACAATAATTCTCGGTCTAACGCAAATATCGTTGTAAGGGTAGGTCGACTGTACATGTATGTCACTTCTCTGCGGTTGACGTCACAGTATACATGTAAGAAATAGCAGAGAAGTAGTGTTCTCTGTCCACCCGGGAACAGGTGTTATGTTTATATAAGGGAGGTCGGTGTGGGATAAAAGGAGGTGACGAGTGCAGGGTCGGCCTCTTTTGTCTATGTGCGGAGAGTTGAGTGAGAGTGTGGAGACTTATTTTCAAAGTTGTTTTGGTTAGGAGAAGAATGTCGAGGTCGAGCAGTGTGTCGCCGAGTGGTAGTGGTGGTGAGAGTGAAGGGTATGACGAGGAGAGTAGGAGGATGAGAGAGATGGCTGCGAGATTGGAGACGTTGGAGCGGAAGTTGGAGAAGACGGAGAGTCGTAAGAGGAAAAGAGAGAGTAGAAGTAGCAGTGAGAGTGAGTCAGAGAGCAGCAGGAGCAGGAGAAGTGGCAAGAGTAGACGTAGCAAGAGTAGACGTTGCAAGAAGAGCAAGACGAGCAAGGAGAGTAAGCAGATGAAGAGAGAGAGACAGGACGAGAGGATGGCGTGGGCGAAAAAGAGAATTTGGAAGGCCAAGGGCCACGAGGAGCAGTGCAACGTTACGTGCTGAGCAAGGCGTTGGAGCATCTAGCTAAGGCTAGGCAGAAGGCAGAGCGACGAGGGGAAGGAGACATCGCAAGGGGCATAGAAGAAGGTGAGAGCATCCTCCAACCGCACATTAAGTTATTGCTCTTCGCGGACGCCGAGGGATGGTCGGCCGCGAATATCTACGACGGCAAAGTGGAGTGCGGCTCCGATACGGATGATGAGCAGAGAATGAGAAGGGCCAGGGTGGAGGCCAAGGAGGGGAAGAGGAGCAATAGTAAGCCCTTTCCAGGAGGCCGCCCAGCCGGGGTTGGGCTCGGAGTGGCTGCTCGCACCCAGACTATGCCGGCGGCGCCGAAACCACCTGGATTCGGCACCATATATTCAAGGAGCTGGCATGTTGGCGGTGCGTAGGGAAGGGGCATGTGCAGCGGGACTGCACAGTGCACACTGCCTGCCCCAGGCCCAGCACCTGCCAGGTCATTGTCGGTGCAGCAGCAACAGCAGCCACGATGAAACAGATAAGTTTGATGTTGATGTTGATGATGATGATGAGAAGAGTGTTCAAGCTTATTCAGATGTTGTTGTTGAAAGCGGATATGTTTCGGAAGGGGACGGGGAAGGGGAAATCTGGGCAGAGGGTAAAACTGTGATGCATGGGAGATTGAAACGGTGCAAACCGTTTTGGAGGGAGATGGAGGCTTCATCTTGGATTATCAGTATCTTGGAGGTCGGTTACGCGTTGCCGTTTGTGACAGAACCTTCGTCTGGTTTTTCAAGGAACCGGAAAAGCTGTTGGAAGCATGCGCAATTTGTTGATGAGGCAGTGAAGGGGCTGGTAGACTGCGGGAGTGAGATGAAAGTGAAAGAATCTGAGTAAAATAATAATTGTGTTAGCCCGCTGGGCGAGGTGGAAGGTGCTAGGAAGCTGAGACTGATTTTGGACTTGAAGCAAGTGAACGAATGCTTGTCTTTGTGCTGTGGTGGCCCCGACGTGTTTAATACGACAATAGTCATGGATGGTGTAGAGTGATTATGTGCGGATGTGTGCGAAACCAGTGGAGTGCATGCAGGGTGGACAGAGAAACAACACGATTGATTGTATACTGTCTGTAGTGGGGTCGAGTGGGGCCATGCAAAATCTGCCTCTGCCAGTATTACAATCATGTACAGTGCATGCTGGCAACTGAAATCCGACCCCCTGGGCGGTGCGCTCACATCGCAAAGAATGTGTACCCGTACCCACCGCTCGGTGGTCGGATTTCAGGTGCCAGCACTGACTGTAGTATGAGTATGATCGATGACTGAGCATGACTCCCATGAGGCTGTCACTCTGACACAGCACTCAGCAGTACAGCATGACCTAGTCCTAGATCTACCATGCATGCATGCAGTGGCCGTGGAGTCTCGATCTCGTAATACTCGGAGTCGTAGTCTGTATTGTACTGGTCTGAGCTCATGAGGTTGTCAGTGGTGCACTGGCAGCGTGCTAGCAAAACTGGCTGTTGAATGGATGTGCTCAATCGCAAGCGTTGGCTGGCTGGAGCATGCAGTACTGCCAGTTGACATGGTAGAGGCTGAGCAGGATCTACACACAGTGGGAGCGTAGTGGAGAGAACCACCGCATTGTGCTCTAGTTTTATTCTAAACTAAATTTCTGCGTCGTTGCAGGTTGTACAGCGATAGCTGAGCACATCTTTGCCTAGTTGAACATACACTGAAAGCACGGTCCTGACAGTAGTAGCACAAGCTAAACTCTTTTGTAGCGTGAGCTAAGGACCCTGCCTTTTCCAGCAACTACTACTCCTGAGTCCTGTTGAGCTTGCCCGGTCGCGACTTTTTGCAGATACCACTGACCGTTGATCTGTAGTGGGAAGGTTGGCGGCGTTCGCTCTTCGCAGTATTATAGTTCAATGACCCGAGTTGCTGTGAGTGTTCTGTCCTTGTCGTGGAGCGCAGATCCAACCGTAGCCTGAGCTTGGATTTTCCGCCGACCTGTTCATTCCTTGGAGTTTTGTACCTGCGCCGTGAGCTGGTGCGCGCAGGCTTTGTTGCCTAGTTGTCTTCGTGGATAGGCAGTTTTGTGCGCCGTGCTTCATGGTGGATTCAGTGCTTGCTAGTGCTCTGAGGTGGCGGCTCAGGTAAATAGAGCCAGTGGAGGAATGGCGTTTGTGCGCGCCTGTTCTCGTATGCTCGTGACCATCGCTCTGCTATTATGCTCAGGTGAGTCAAAATCGCTTGTCTGTCATGTGTGCGTTGCTGTTATGTGTGATAAACTCTGATTGTGGCCTGTGTCAACTGAAGAAAGGCTGAACGCGGAGACAGCTCTGTTTCCTGCTGTGAGTTCGCCGAGCTTGATTTGTGCGTCGTACCGTCTTGTCGTCCCAGTCGTTTTCTCTCGGCACTGTAGCTCGCCATTCTAGATGCCTCGATTTATTTTGTGTTTTCTGCAGATGTACATAATTATTGTAACTATTGTTTCGCGCCTTGTACAGCGCATTCTGCGATCCTTGCACCATACTCCATAGGCATAGATGTTTATAGATGTGTGTTTTCTCCACAACCATGCACAACGCAATACTGCCAATAGTGCCTCAGTTTTCATCTCGACTCGTGAGTCGTGTAGTATGTTCGTCGCCACTGTACGTGGGACGGGGTGGCGTGGTTTGCAAGGTGCTGAACAGAGTGTTCCTGATTGGAGATAGTGTAGTGACTAGCGTTTGACGAACGAACACACAACCCGTTCCCTCACTCAGTTATGAAGGATTGTGGCTAAATGGGAACCCCATGTGGCCATGTACCCGAGGCGAAACGGCGCTGGCAACCTTTCTCTACCCCTTCGTGATGTTGTCCATAGCATAGGTCACCGGAGTGTCGTGCCTTCTCAATGCACTTTGTCCAATGTCGAGTGATCGGAACAACCAAGTACGATGTGCTGGGTACTTGCGAAAAGCCAGTGAACGTTGTTCTTGTTGCGCCGCTTTCGGCTCGGCCACCGCCACAGAGGGCTACGGTGCTAGTGCACTCAATGCTTGGCACGTAACATGAATTCGCGATAGGCTAACTAACTAGTATTACTTGTACAGACTTGTACAGACTTGGAGTTGGAAACGTTTGTTGAGTGTTCTTCGTGTTGGTACTACTAACCATGCTAACTGAGCACTATGACTGTGAAGTATGAGGTCTGCAGACTGTGCGATGACTATGGCGACTGCACAAGTAGTAGTTTTTCTTCAAACATCAAAGGCTTCTTGACGGACTCTGTATGCAGAAACCCGCTATACTAGAATGACTGGGTATGAGTACATGTACAATTTCCGTATGCAACGGAGGATCGCCATATCTAACAAACGGACAACTGTACAGACTTGCCGATATATACTTTTATCGTCTTCAGCTGCCACAACTTAGTCAGAAATAGCTCTAAAAATGTTGTGAGCTCCTACTTGCCACGAAACTTCTAAACATGAATATGACTGGGACCCCGCACTATTAGTATTACTATAGTCTGTACCTGCCTGTATCTTGTGCAGCACATCGTGGACTCCTGCCTGTATCTTGTGCAGCACAGATCACTGATACAGGTCAGCACTGACAGCAGTAGTGACAGTGCCTTGCACAATTGCAGTATCTTGGTTTGACACATGCCTGATTGTGCAGTGGATCTACAATGTAGATTTGCAGTGAGATCTGTCTAAGCTGACTGCTCCAGGGACCTTCAAAATGTGGTTGCTGTGTACAGGTGGTCATCCTGTGGTATGTGACTGGAAACATCAGCCCTTGGTCCTAGTTGTAGGGGGCCCTCTGGGACCAATGGTATCCAATGACCAGTAGTATTCATGCACAAAGGCACACAATGAAAACCTTGGGCAAATTCCGTTGTGACTCAGAGCGGTTGTCTGGTGATTGGTTCAGCCATGAAACTCTGAGTCGCAACGGAATTTGCCCAAGGTTTTCATTGTGTGCTTTGTGTACGCCGCTCTGCCCGAATGAGGTATTGAGCACTTTCGCAGAACCTAACAGTTAAGCATGCTGCCTGTGTGCAGTAGTATTCATAATAATAATTACAGGGCTTGAAAGTGCTACGTCACAGCATAGCAACAATTTCAAAAATTCAAAAACTGTATCCAATTGGATCCAGTTTTTGTATGGATCCAAGCACATTTTAAGCCGTCTTACTCACAGCAAGGTGATGTAGCCAGTGAAACTGACTGCTTTGGCTAATAGGGGCGGGGTGACACCTGGTGGCGAAGTAAAAGTCACACATGCGTACGACATGAGTGGGTTGCTATGCACCCACATACTGAGGCAATAGCAAAGTCACACCTTAGTGGATCCAAAATAGAAATCTGATGTCAACTTACTACTCCCTGGCCGTTTTTGACGTCATCACTTTCAAGCCCTATTACTATTAGGGCTGCAAGAAAGGTTTGAAGGTTCGGTTACTATTCGTTTCGGAGTTCAAAAGAAGGAAGGTTGCTTTCAACGGACGGTTTGAAATCAGGTTTCTGAATATGCATAGTAGTGAGGTTCTGCCACCCGGTAAAACGTACCAAAATACGTATGGAAACCTCGCCGCGGTACGGGATCCAGTTTCAGACGGATTTTTTCATATCGTTTTGGACTGGTCTCCGTATGAAAACTGAGCGGACCGAGTACATGCGGCGGGGAGTTCGAACATGCTAGCGCATGCTACGCACAGCAGAACCGGCGCAACGTACGAAAAATCTGTGTCAAACTTCACCGGAGTTGAAATGGAGTTTGGTACGTAGTTCCGTGTAGCAGAACCTCTCTAGTCTCAAAATGGACTTCATGCTCTGGAAAATCATGCTAAGAGCTAAAATAGGTGGAACAGATAAAATCCATAATAGTTTTACTCAGATGGTGAGCCAATTAGTGAGTGTAGCCGTACCCCTGTCAGATTTGTACCTTGTTGTCGCAGTATCTGGCTGTATATCGTCTGGTTGCATTGGTGGACCGTCCTCTTCTACATAGATTATGCCTGATGATCGCTTACTGTGAAATGTTAAGTTGCAACGAATCGTTATGACTACCGTGACAAACAGAAACATTCCTAGTGTGTCAAATTTTGTAAATAATTCGGGAAGGTTTTGAAATGAAAAGGAGAGTCAAGTTCGAACATCCGCATTACCACCAATCAGCTTAGGAATGTTTCACGTGTGCCAGTCCACTCCCAATCCACCATGCCTGGTTATATATCAAGGGGCAAGGCATAGTCTATGAATTTGAAGATACTCAATCTTTTTGATACACCATAGCTTAGTCAAGGGGCAAGGCATAGTCTATGAATTTGAAGATACTCAATCTCTTTTGATACACCATGGATTAGTGGTAGAGCATCGCTGTCCCCCTGGTGGCTCGAGTCCTGGTGGCGACAGTCAATTTTTCTTCGGTCTTTTCGCGTTTACGCCTTTCCCTCCACCTAATGAATACTATTTGATTTGATTTCACAATAGAAAATGTTCAAATCGGGAGTGTTGAGGTGTGTTGGTGGCATCATTCACTGAAAAACGTTTGCACACACGCGTCAAGAGGCCAGAAAGGCTAGAAAGGCAGTTGGTGGCGAGACAAAATGAAGCATGCCGCAATCATGACGTCATAAGTATTGTTATCTAACTTTAGCGGTCATGCGGAAAGAATGTATGGTCCTGGAAAAGTTGTGATTTGCTCAGGTGCAAAGTGATCAATATTCACTGGCAGGTGACCGATCTCTCCACATCTGAATGTGTGCTGAAGCATTGTGTAACTGTTGGACTTGGCATTACCTAAATCTCATGCTGATTACTGTCGCCATTTTTGAAGAATCAGAAATCTTCCTAAGGCTTTAGTGTCACACTTTCCTAACAAGGCTAAGAATTTCACTCGCGGATATAAGTGTGAAGATTTTCCCCGCCTGCCCCACAAGTAATGGTCGGCCGAGTACAGTGAAGCCTGTCTGGGCAGACCGCACGAGACCTTAGAACTGTGGTGTCCGTGGGTGCAGGTGGTCTTGTTATCCAGGGCCTTTCGACGGGAAATAACGTCCCTTGGTCCTTAGTTGTGGTAGTCCTCTGGGACAGGTGGTCGCCCTGTCAGAGTGGTCGCCCTGTCAGAGTGGTCGTCTGGACAAGTTTTACTGAATGTACTTGCATAAGAATGACTGTACACTGTTGGAATGTGCCCTGGTGGGCCTTCTTGGAAGAGTGTTCTCGCCTGAAACTTGGCGCCTCTTCTGACTCCTTAACCGTAACCTTTTCTAGGGGAAAGTTGTGGACGAGACTAGTGTGGCTGCGCATGGTACGGTCAACTTTGTGTTAAACGACACTCGGCAGGGCATCAGAAAAGTGTCCCTATTCGCGAAGTGTCCTTATACCCTAAGTATACCCGAAGTCTCAATATACGTATTACAGTTGGACGGGACTTTGCTCTGGGCATGGAAATTCTGTCGTTATTCGCGAATTGTCGTTATATCCGGAGTCGTTATTAGCGAAGTTGACTGTAATAAGTATGGGTCTGTCTGACCACACCTGGTTATTTAAGGGATTTGTGTCTATTTGATGCTTCTGTGTGTGTGTGGGGGGGGGGGGGGGTATGTGAGTGTGTATCAGAATATGGTGTGTGTATCACGTCGTATGTGTGAGGAAAAGTAAGCACAAATAATCCACTGCATGTGCACATGCAAGGCACAAGAGGATGGTTTCAAGAGAGCAGGAACATGGTTGTTGAGTTCTCTTCCTGGTCTGGCCATGCTTCACTACATCTGCTTGTGTTCACACCGACACACTCCAGTCACACTCATCATCAAGAGCATACAGAGCACATGCCTTGTGCTGTGTATTAAGTTAGTATTTGTGTGGTTCATCTCTGCAGTGGTCGATAATTACCAGTACCAGGTGGCCCGCAACTGTATACAGTTACCTGCCTGGAAGATGGCCACTTTGGCAGACTCGTGCAGTCTTTGCATGCTCTAGTGGCTGACATGTACATACTTGTATTCCAGTGTGTGTGTGTATGCTTTTGTGTGGTTGTGGTGTAATGCTTCAAGAAATTCGTTATCCTAAGTAGATATTAAGTGCTTCCAGTACTTCTTGTGTCGTTCAAATTTGTGCCGTGTGGCTGTATGGTCGTGACAGCTCATACACTGCAATAGGGTCATCAAGCAAATCTATGTGAACATCAGTGTGTGTTTAAGGATTGCAAATAACAGAACCAGCTGAAGCGTCATTTCACAAAGGTTTTATTGAGATGACACGAACAAATTCAAGAGAAAGTGGTCATTAAAATCTTCGTGAAATGACGCTTCAGCTGGTTCTGTTTGTTGCAATTAAACTTGTGTCACCTCGCCGCCTTTTTCAAATACCAGTGTGTGTTTTCATGAAACACTCTAGGGACAGTGTACTGCAGATGTACCAAATGTCGGCGCTGCAGAATTTCGTCCAACTGGAAGCGGATACTTGGTAACGCCAGCTTCCTGTAACGCTGCAAGCCCAGTGTATCTGTAGTGATGGAAATGTATGAGCTACGAGTAAGAACAAGGTGCTGGAGATATAAGTTACAGACATCACTAATCTGAAGCACAGCCCCCCCCCCCTTCTCTCTCTCTCTCTCTCCTCTCTCTCTCTCTCTCTCTCTCTCTCTCTCTCTCTCTCTCTCTCTCTCTCTCTCTCTCTCTCTCTCTCTCTCTCTCTCTCTCTAACTCTCTCTCTCTCTCTCTCTCCCTCCCTCTCTTTCCCTCTATTTCTCTCTATCTCTCTCTTTCTTCAGTGCCTATTGAGTGATGTTACTGTAGAGACTTGGGCTTGCAAACTATGTACGTACATGTACTTGGCTGACATACAAAATAGTCGTTACTCAAGTCTACAAGTACGGTAGTCTACACACAGGCCAGGTACAAGACATGTGGAAGGTGTGTATGATCAACGAAATGCGTGTACTGCATGCGTATGAAGAGTACCAACTTCTCCCGCAGGCAGGCACAAGGTGTATAATTATTATGATCTCGGGGGGGGGGGGGGGGGATGTGTGTACTGTACTAATCTCTCAGAAGCAGAAAGGCACAAGGTGTATGATTTATTATTATGATCACCGAGATGTGTATACTGTATGCATATGCAGAGCACTAATCTCTCTGGCAGACAGCTGCTATGATCAGCCGGGCATGATCTTACACTGTGTATGGGTTTTGTTACCGTGTGACCTCCCAATAGATTACTGTCTAATTGACACCACATGGCCTTATGCTACAGCTGTTCTAACATATCTTCTCGCACTTGTACCGGGGGATTTGAATTTGAGGACCTCTTGAGTTATCACGCTTTGGTCATGTGTGAGTGGCCTTTCTAGAGTGCTGTGTAACTTGTAGCTGAAGGACACATGAACTGTAGTGGTGAGGGCTAGTTTGCTCCATCAAGTGCCTGCGCCAGGTCCATTCTGATGTTTTGTGACCCCGGAAGGTGTGTGTGTAGGGGAGGGGGGTGGAGGATTGTTTAGCTTGCAGTAACTGCTGTGTTACTAAACATGTGAATACACTTGCGCAGTATCAGTGATTTCGCACCTTCAATACAAGCTCAAGGACGTAGCTGGTCCCCCCCCCCGCCCTTCAGGGGGGGGGGGGGGGGTGCACGGCCGTAGTTCCCTAGCTAGCTGCACATGTACTTGTGCTATGATACATGTACGTTTGGGATGGCTGGTGCTGGTCATTACGTTCATGCTGAACCTAGGTCGAATTTTTAGGGGGTGCAAGTGCCCCCCCCCCCCCCCTGGGCTCCATGCGAGGTACGCGCCTGAAGCTACTGATTCTGATGACAATGCCGTTCACACCGGAAGAGGTTCAGCTTACAATATCCAATGCTATGTTTGTACTAGTTGATGCATCTATACGGTCAGCTGAATCACGCGAACTCTCTTCGCGTTCCCGTAACGTAAAGAAATCCTGTTCTGCTCTACGTTTCACGTAGAGAAGTCACGTGGAATATGTACTGGGAATTTCCTCTTCAATATTAATTTTGGCAGTTTTCTGCCTGGACTCGAATGATACCCAGCAGATCCGTACACATTTTCTTTGCGTGTGCCACAACGTAGAGAACCTCATCTACGCGTAGAAATCTGGACCCAAATCACGCGAAGCCGTAGACTCTAACCCAGACACCTGCTCTCTACGTGATTTCTCTACGTTTCACGTATAGCAGAACCTGTCTTATGTCACTCTGTGTACTGTACAAGCAGAACATTTCGTCAGTCAATACTTTCGTCCAACTCCAAAGAAAGAGAGTTCGTCCGGTTGTAAATTTCGTCCATGGATCATAAGAGTGTATTGAAAAGCTGGAAAAATCGACATTAGTCCGGCATTTAATTTAGTCCAAAAGCTCCTTGGACGAAAAAGACGAAGTTAAATTCCAGACGAATATTTCTGCTTATACAGTACACTCCGTGCAGTGCATGTACCAGTAGTGCAATGTACATGCAATGACTATGTCCCTGTGCACACACTCCGTGCAGTGCATGTACCACTAGTGCAATGTACATGCAATGACTATGTCCCTGTGCATACACTCAGTGCAGTGCATGTACCAGTAGTGCAATGTACATGCGATGGCTATGTCCCTGTGCATACACTCAGTGCAGTGCATGTACCACTAGTGCAATGTACATGCAATGGCTATGTCCCTCTGCATCCACTCAGTGCAGTGCATGTACCAGTAGTGCAATGTACATGCGATGGCTATGTCCCTCTGCATCCACTCAGTGCAGTGCATGTACCACTAGTGCAATGTACATGCAATGACTATGTCCCTGTGCATACACTCAGTGCAGTGCATGTACCACTAATGCAATGTACATGCAATGACTATGTCCCTGTGCATACACTCAGTGCTGTGCATGTACCAGTAGTGCAATGTACATGCGATGGCTATGTCCCTCTGCATCCACTCAGTGCAGTGCATGTACCCGTAGTGCAATGTACATGCAATGACTATGTCCCTCTGCATACACTCAGTGCAGTGCAGGTACCACTACCATCCCTCCATGAAGTATAGCCGTGAACGCGTACTAGCATGAGTACATAACCCCCCAGAGTGTGCAACGCCTGATCCAGCTCTGCATAGGGTCTAGGTCGAGCGTAATCGGATTTTTGTGTCATAATACCGTACACATCTGGGGGGAACCCGGGGAGCCGCGGGTACTCTCGGATCAAAAACAACGGTGCCCTGCCTCAAGACCGGCTTTTAGCTGGTGTGAAGTGTACGCATGACATCAGAAGATCCGACTACGCTCGACCAAGACCCTATGCAGAGCTGGATCAGGCGTTGCACACTCTGGGGGGGTTATGTACTCTTGATACTAGTACTGTACCGGTGCCATTGTATGCCAATATAGCCATGGTATGGGCATTGGTCGGATTGTTTTGGCGACGACTGTAGTAAAACGAAAAATGACTATTACATGGGGGCTTGGACGGTAACTCGTGTGACCTGCATTCTTCTGATGGTGTTGTTTCAGGGTTAGCACGGGATGCGATAGCGCTGCAAGCCACCTCGGCTGACCCGTTTCACTTGTTTGCATATGGGGACGGCACAGCGCGTGCATTCCAGCATGTAGAGGGCTGGTCAAGTGATGACTGGGTGCAGCTGCACCTAGTTCAATATGAAGGAGACAACGCGCTACAGATCAAGCAGGTGTGTACTGTTAGAATAGGTATTGTGTGTGTGTGTGTGTGTGTGTGTGTGTGTGTGTGTGTGTGTGTGTGTGTGTGTGTGTGTGTGTGTGTGTGTGTGTGTGTGTTGTGTGTGTGTGTGTGTGTGTGCGTGCGTGTGTGCCCAGCAGTAAGATTTCATGTAGAGAATTTCCAGTGCCATTATGATTCATGTTTGAGAGTGGGATGTTTCTCCATCCGTACTGTCCTACATTCCCGGGAGTTCGGTACTATGCGTTTTTTTAATACAATTCAACACAATATTGTGAAGATGCAGTGGTCCCTTTATAATCCGGCAGCATTTGTGCTACGCAAATTCTGCTGGATTAGGGAAGGTGCTGGATTAGGAAATCTGACTTGCCGCTGCAATGTGCATGAAAAGGACATTTTGGGAATTTTGGTTGCTGAAAATGTTGCTGGTTTATGGAGGGTGCTGGTTTATTGAGGGGTCTATCTTGCCTTCTCTCTCATTGTAAACTTGCAGCTGCAGCTTGTTGGCTCAGACGTGTTTGTTCTCACGAATGATAACGAACTGAGGAAGCATTCGAACTTCAATGGCACCTTCACGGGCGAAGCAAGAACCAGTCGGGTAAGAGCTCTAACCAAAGCAGTGTTCTCTGTCTCACAGCCCGCTGGTGGATCGATTGGCGAATTGAAACATCACTCGGACCGTTGTGAAGATCCAGTTACTTCACACAACAAATCTTTGCCTCGTCCGCACAAAACACACCAGAGGATAAGGAACATAAAGAAAAAGAGAGAGAACTAAATGGTGTAACAACCACGGGAACAGTGAACAGGGGGACAACAATAACAACATTTACTCCACAAGGTGCTCAGTGAACAGTTTCAGGGTCATGACATGTTCTTTTTGAACACACACAAATCAGGTGTGTACAAGTGTACATGTAGCCTCTAATGCTTTCAGCTGCATCACATGGCCATGACTAGCACGGCACAGTACAGGGAAAGTAGAATGCGAATCCGCTGGTGGGGTTTGCACATGCCACTGTCATGCTTATCGCTGTACACTGAAACCTGTCCAAGGCGACCGCTCATGGGACCTTCAAAAGCTGGTCGCTGTTTCCAGGTGGTCTCCTTATCCAGGGTCATTTGACTGGAAATAGCACCCCTTGGTCCTGGTTCCAGTGGTCTTCTGGGACAGGTGGTCACCTTAGCCGAGTGGTCACCTTATCCGAGTGGTCGCCTTATCCGAGTGGTCACCTTATCCGAGTGGTCACCTTATCCGAGTGGTCACCTTATCCGAGTGGTCACCTTATCCGAGTGGTCACCTTGACAGGTTTTACTGTGCATGTGCTGCCCCAATTTAGTGTTATTTTTCTTTTAGTTTCGCGCCGCTTTCTGTTCCATTATTAAATTGTTCACTGAGTATTCCACCCATTATTCCACCCATTATTCCACCCATTATTCCACCCATTGGTACGTACGTTCACTGTTGACAGTATCTAGAAAACTGTTCTGAATATTTCTTCCTTTTACATTTGAATCTCACATTTATCTCTCTCACATGTAGTTTAGTTATGCATCGTCAAGATATAATGGTTACCGCACAGTTTGTCCTCTTGTTAGCAATGTTAAAGTTGCTATCGCCGAAACTCTTCTTCAGTATAGTATTTCTGTTACTAATTTAATGATCTGCTTTTCTGTGTACAATCCCAGCTGGTGGCGAAGGATGTAACGGCGTTTGCTGTGGATGAATTTCAGTCGCTGGTCTACTACGTCAGCCGAGAGAGAATACCGCAGGCGGGCAGTGCCGAACCGTGGCGACTGTCCGTTTCCACGTACAACGTCTCCTTGCAGCGGACGCTGATAGGCAACGGTGCAGCTCCCGCGGCAGACGTCATGGCGGTAGACAGCAGGAATGGGTGAGTGGCTTCAAAGGGACCGTAGTGTCCGGAGTGTAAGCAGCACTTTGAAGACGCAAAATTCACCGAAAAAAGGGGGTGCGGCTTATACTCAGATGATCAAATTGACGGTGATAAATACGATAGATTTATAGCAGTAAACACACGCCTGCCCACACACGCTCTCTAGGCTGCCTAGCGAGAGCGTGTGTGGGCAGGCGTGTGTTTACCGCGCCCGCCATATTGCCAGGTGTGTCTTTATCACCATATTTATCAACCAAAAGTACAGCTGCAGTGATATCTTCAATTTCATTCTCCAGATTTATAGCAAATAAAAGAACCAAGGAACTACAAGTCACGCTGTAAAGTCTACTGACACCACCAGTTACTTGACAACCAGCTCGCGATAACATTGCACGACACTGGCCAACGACCATTATAGCATAACTTGTACATGTAGTTCCTGGGTCCTTTTCTTTGCTATAAATTAATCATTGGCTCTCCGTCTGAGTCCAATAGGATAGATGTCTGTATTTTGTGGCAAAAAAATGGGGAGGGGGGAGGGGATGCGTCTTATACTCCAGTGCGGCATATAATTACAGGGTGCGACAGAGCTCTCGGCCGTTGAAGAAAATGTTGAGTCACCTCCACCATTACACTGCGCTCTTTTTTGCTGCATATACTCCGGAAAATACGGTATATTGTACATGACCACATACCGAGTACAGTCTTACGATGTCACTCTCTGTCATTCTCCATCCCTGGACACACCGTTCATTGCAGTGCTCATTCTGCCTCCCTGGGCACACTGTTCACTGCAGTGCTGTTTGAATCACAGTTTGGAACTCCATAGGCTGTACGTAAAAGGGCTGAGTGACTTCTAAGCTTCCCTCACTATTCCTTCTGTCATCCGGAGATGTTTTGAGTTGTTGCCAACGGGATGGATAGGTTCTGGTGGTTATGTTCCACAGAGAGAGATATCTGTGTGGCTCCTATATTCACTGCTCCTGATTGTGTGATACGAGTTTCCTGGCTCTCTTTCACTCACAAATGTCTGCAATGTGTCCACTTTTTCTCTTTTCGCAGCTTTGTTTATATGATCGCGAAGCGAAGCTCTGACCGGGCTGTGCTGACAAGAACCAAACTTGACGGGTCGTTCAGGAAGGAGCTACGCTTTACCACCGAGAGAGGCGCTCGCCTGTCCTCGCTGGTAGTCAGTCGTTCAGGAAAGCCTGCCGTGTTCTGGATTGAGACAAGCCCCACTTCGTCGCGATTACTGAGATCTCTCAGCACGTCCAAGATAAAGATGGTAAGAGTTTGAGTGCACATGAGGCCTAGTTGCAACGCTGACGCCGAGACCTCTGGTCGGTTGAGTTGCTCCCAGCACCTCAGCACGTCGTCCCTATATCCCTATATATGTTTTGTCCTTTTCCTCGTTTCTTTTTGTTCTCCACCTGTTTTCCAGTAGGGCTGTGTCAATAGTAAAAAAATAATAAATAAAAAAACATCCACATGTACTATATATATTATATACACTCATACATCGGTTATCCGGACATCCACTTTACGGGCACCTCGGTCTACCGGGCACCCTTTGGGCGAGTTTCAGTTGAAATATTACTACTCTGCACCCTTTGGGCGAGTTTCAGTTGAAATATTACTACTCTGTTGGCACTTTGTGGAAATAGTGACATAAGATGCCATATCTATGGCCCTTCCCCATCAAAATGTATGTGATTCGGAGTTACGGACATTTCAAATTAACGGGCGGTGCCCGGTCCCGGACCGTCCGGACAAACGAAGGATGAGTGTAACTGAGATTGTTGAGCCTTAATTGTGCATCCAGGTTCCATAACTTTGAGTACTACATCGGTGCAAGTCAAGATGCCAATAGAGTGATGATGGTGCAGATGGCATAAACTGAAAATGTCGTTTCGTTCCCTCCTTACTGCGTCATGGGTGGGGTTTTATCCATTCAGGCCTTGTCATGCCTGTGTTATTATGCAATTTGGACTGTCTGTCAACCGCTAGAAACGTGATAGGAACTCGGAAAAGGTTTGTTCTTTATCCGAGAAATTCATGGTATTTTTGGGTGAAAAAAGGTTTCCATTGTGTCTTTCAGTCCGTTTGTTTCTCTACGTCTGCCTCTGTGTCTGTCCAACTGACTGGCTGGCTGTGTTTTCTGTTTGTAAACGCATGTTGTTGTTGTTCTACTCTGTGTGTTGCTCAGCCGATTTCCTCCACTCGTCCAGGACCGGTGATGCATATGTGGTCCACTCATCACGGTATTCACATCGTAGAGGATTTTGACGCGAGCAATGCCACCGCCCGTGTGCGCACCTTTCAGAACAAGAACAAGAACTTCCGCGATGACGTCGTGTTTGGCCTCGGCACGGAGACATCATCACCTTCCCACCATTCTGGTAAGTTCTAATGGCAGGTACTAGTACCTGGTAGATGATTACCGTAAACTTTGCGAAAAGCAATCCTCAATCCAGTTGGAGAAGAGTGTTGTTATTGGCAAGTTGTCGTTATCTGAGAGCTGTTGTTATTTGGAAGATTATTAGTATGTAATGAAGTGGTTACTCGGTCTGAAGATAGTGCCATTATTCCCAAGTTTTAAGTCCAAGATCTGTATACGCCAGGTTGCCTGTACATCGACTATTGTACAGTAAGCTCAGCGTTGGAGGACTGTAGACCTGGCAAGGCTGACACGTGTATGCTCTGCTGGGTTAGTAGTTCCATTCTTCACTCCTTGCTGTCTACATGTTGCGGATAGTAGAGGTTATACTGAATATGTATGGGGGGGGGGGGGTAGACTTGCATGGTGGGGGGGGGGGGGGTAGACTTGCATGGGACGAAGAAATCGTGATCGCATTTTCCCATGGAAATGGAGGTGATCTTGATCTAGACATAAATTGCGGTGTGCAATGTACACATAGTTGCTGTGTGACCCGCCATCAGGACCCTCTCAATCACCTTACTTCCAGTACATGACCACGAAAAGGCTCCCGGCAGCGTAAAACTTGCCTTGTGCTTTTCGGTGATAGCGAAATGGTCGCCCTCAGGTTTGGACAGGCAGGGACAACAATGTTTTTGGCTTGGCCTTTTTTTTGTTTTGTCGGTTTGTAGATGATTGTACACAGAACACCTGCCCTGGTAATCACCTGTGTATACCGATGCCCAGTGCCAGCTACACTCCAGCACTGTCATACAACCACCTATGCCTTCGAGCGACAACATTCTCGGCGTGGAGCAGCACCCGCCTCAACTTCACCGGCCTTGGTAAGTTGTTTTGGCAGGGATCTCCTAAATAAAAACTTGTTGCTGGTCTACTTCAATCTTATTGACAGAGGAAGTTTGAAATCCAACGAGGAAGCTGTGGTGGTGTTAAATGTATTGATAGCAAAGAAGGGAGATGACTAGTGTTGTCGCCTATGTGTTTTGTGTGTGTGTGTGTGTGTGTGTGTGTGTGTGTGTGTGTGTGTGTGTGTTTGTTTGTACTTTGTGTGTGTTGATATACCCGGTTGTGACTGTTCTCCTCTGCCTTTGTGGCATTGCTCCATGCGTTGTGGTGTTGAGCACTCTAGCAATCTGGGAATTCCCCCTAATGTATTGTCTGGTGGTATACAAATTATCCGTGTTCTTCATCTTGGTTCCCCCAAGGGACCGATGTTATTTGTTCGCAATAACAGGAGTTCTTCTTATCCGTATGGTATACCCAGTGAATACACCGTGATTTATCCAATGGAGTTACGAATACTAGTTCTTCTTAAGCGAAAGTTTGTTTTATCAGTGTTCTTCTTAACGAGGTTTCACTGTACTTGGTACCTATGTAATGCCTGATGATGTATAAACTATGATCTGTTCTTCATCTTGGTTTCAGATTCCGTGCTAATGCTAGCTGCCGGTGATCTAATCGCGGCCGTCTTCCTGAACCAGTTCGACGCCAATAACAGCACCATCATCGAGCCGTTCTACCAGGAGCGCGGCTTGAAAGCCGGGGCTGTCAGCGGCGGACCTGGCGGTGTGTTCTGGACCCACGAGCAGCGCAGCGCCTCCAAGGTCTACAAGTCCAGCCTGGACGGTGCTGACCAGACACTGCTGGAGACCAACGGCATTGATATGGCGCAGGTGAGAGAGGGAAATCCCCTTGTGTGGTACGATACATTGACATGGCGCAGGTGAGAGAGGGAAATCCCCTTCGCCGGACAGTTTCTGTACTGTAGAATAGCAGTGCTAGTTTGGAGATTCCCCATGGGTTGTCGGCCGTGTGTGTATTGCTTTTAAAGTTATGAGGACATCATTCAGAGCAATGCTGTAGAAGTTCAGGGTGGCAAGGTCCACTCTGCTGGGGTGGGGGGTGTCAAAGGCCTTCTACGTAGGGCCATTCTACTTGGGATGCCAAAAGGCCCTTCTGTTCAGGGTAGCAAAACTGCAAAAGCCGGATCTGCTGCAGAAGCTGAGGATGTCAACAGTCAAGGGCTGCTCTGCTCGGAAGCCAGAGTCTGGTGTCAAACTTCAATGGCCAACATTGTAGATGATGTGTGCGGTGTGTGTTGTGTGTTGGGGGGGGGGGTGTTGGGGGGGGGGGGGGTGTTGGGGGGGGGGGGGTGTTGGGGGGGGGGGGGTGTATCATGAATAATGTGTGTGTAACAACAGTAATTATGGGACCGTACGCATGCATTACAGAAGTACATGTACATTCGCATTGTACGGCCGTGAACTGCTTGAAGACCTGAGCAACATCTGTGCTGAACATTGAAGAGCAAACTAGGAAAGCTACAACCGGGTAAAACTGGAAATAATTGCTCAATGGGCAGTTCCATTGTAACATATATACGATCACTGAACATCTGCAATGGGCCTACACCAACACCCTGTACTGATGTGTAGGAGTTGCATTATTTGGTAGAAAGTATATTTTAGGAATGGGTTTGCTCCCACACTGGAGCTCGCGCTATTCCGCCGACGACTTGACACTTGACTGACTCACGACTGCCATCCGGACAACACGAGAAGTCCATCGAACCTTAGACTCGGCAAGTGTGGGAGCAAACCCATTCCTAAACAAAATCATCGCCGAAGTCGCAACCTGTATATCGTAAAGTGTATTTTCACGGTTTTAAAAGAGTATTTGTTTTGTCGAGCTAATGAGGATACGCCAGGTGATGCGGCCACGAATCCGGCCAACTTTACTTTCTAATGATGATGTAGGTTCCTAGGTTACCCCAAGACGAACAGTTATTTACCCTTGGAAAAGCTCCGGTCCCCTGATGATTGTCTTTGAGCGTGAAACTCTGAGTTATGATATACTGTAGGTTCTGAAATAGGGACCAGGCTTGTATTACCGCATGTCTGAAATAAGCGCAACATCGTTTCAGAGATTTTGTGTGGATTCCTTTCAAACTGGATGAAATATTTGGCCTCGCAGACTACTAAGCGCCTCAGCCATTGTTGCCCAAAATACAGTACATGTTTTTCCACTGGATTTTCATTTGTGACATGTATACTGTACAGTGTTGATATCATTGACGTGTCTCTCTACCTCTTATTTGATACCTGTAGGCAATTGCTTCCGAGGCCACATCAGGTGTGGTCTTGTGGAATGATGATCGTCGTCAGATTACTGTGGAAAGTATGGACGGTCGTGTTCGTTTCGTAGCTGTAAAGAGTAACTACACACTCGATGGCCTGGCAGTGGACTCCAGCAAAGGGTATGTACATTATGGGGTAGTATGTGTGTATAAGTATATGTGTTTGCGTGTGTGCGTCTCTCTCTCTCTCTCTCTCTCTCTCTCTCTCTCTCTCGCTCTCTCTTTCTCTCTTTCTTTCTCTCTCTCTCTCTATTTTTTCCCACGTCACATTCTCACTCTTTCCATCTACTGCTCTGTTTCCACTCTGTTCACACTGTCACTCCTTCCATCTACTGTTCTGTTTCCACTCTGTTCACACTCTCACTCCTTCCATCTACTGCTCTGTTTCCATTCTGTTCACACTCTCACTCCTTCCATCTACTGTCCTGTTTCCACTCTATTTCGCCGTGTCATGCAGACGTGTCTACTGGATTGAAGACTCTCATTACATCATGAGCTCATTCCTGGATGGCACTGGTTTGAAACGAGTCGTAGAGGGGAACATGGTGAGTGGCTGGTCAAAGTTTAGTCACAATTCTCTTTAGCATCTACAATCATAACCCGTGGCGCCGAACATTCTACAGCCACTGCGATGTTGGTCTAACCAAGTACTTCTCAGCCCAACAGACTTCAGTATGTATGGATTCGTCCATGCTTCGGACAATATCCGTACTATGCAAGTGAATATTTTATTACTCCCCACTATGTCTTATCAGTGTACTTGTATGTAGTAATGAGTTCATTTTGTGCATGTACATGTATGTGTCACACAGTTGTGGAATTAAAACGTTTCCTCAGAGACACAAATGCTAGAACACTGCTAAAGAGCACAAACTTGAAATTGTGATATTTTAATACTAATATTATTTTGTATATGCACGTGGCTATGCGTGCATGTGCTTGTTTGCGTGTGTGTGTGTGTGCGTGTGTGCGTGTGTGTGTGTGTGTGTGTGTATGGGGGGGGGGGGTGTACACACGCATGTGTGTTCCAACGGGCTGCACAGTCTGGTGTACATCTGCTGGCAATTGACAACGCTGTGTCACCGGCACATCTCTACTGGGTAGACAAGCTGGTCATCAACTATCTGAAGCTGGACGGCGTGACCACCCACGTAAGTAAACAGTGCCGTGATGCTATCCAGGAATTACTGTAAAACCGGAAATTTTCGATGGAGATGTATTTTCGGTCGGTGACTTCTGTACAGGTAATTTGTACCAAAAATTCAACCATGCCCAGCCACACAGTGTGCAAAATGCATTTTTCGATCTGGAAAACTGGCAGCCTCCTAGCCTGAGCCGTTCTATGTTCCATGCACTACATTGTATGCATGTGCCCAGTAGAATCACCGTGTATACTAGTACATTGGTATGCTGTGCTTGGTAGCCTGTCCATTCTCCTCGCCACAACATTCCTTGACACCCGACTGTACTGTGCAGTGGCTTCAGCTACTGGTATAGGTTTTGGGTGTAGCCGGTTAATGTTATCAGCCAACACTTCTTGGTCTGGGACAAACTTGGCAGAGCACATTGTTTTTTTTTGGGGGGGGGGGGGAGGAGGACGGCATTCTAATTCTATGAACCGTTCAGCTTACGCTCCCTGATCCGTCTGTGTTGGAAGACTACAGATGGACGACTTACTTTTTTGATCTCTCTCTCTCTCTCTCTCTCTCTCTCTATCTATATGTAGGACTCAGTATAGAGTCCATGCACTATATGATGTCCAGCACCCTATATAGAGTCCATTGGTCCAAAATCCACTATACAGAGTCCAGGAGTCCACTCAGTTTTGATCAGCTTCATCCTGCCGCGCAATCCCCTATAAGGAGTACAGTACACTTTTTCTACAAGTCCCCTATTCACGGTCCAGGAGTCCAGTTTATCCAGTCACGCCGTCCTGTGTGTTGTGCCCGAAAGAGAACACATTTTCAGTTTTGCTTGCCTCGTGGCAGCGCATTCCTTTCTTCACTTCAGCCATGGCTGCCAATTCTGCTGTGCAGTTGCTGACAGTAATCTGTCTCGAGCTAACCAAGGAGGATAAGGAGACGTTCAAAATCAAATCTGGAAAGCGTCTTGTGGTTCTCTGAAGACGTTTCATCAGTGCGCGGGATGAAAGCAGAAATTGCAGAACGAGAAAAGTTCAGCACAGTTCAAATCTGACGAGTCAGGTACACTGACGCTCTCTTTCGTTCGACGCCACAAGGATCCCCTGTTTGGCTGGCCATTGCTGCCAGTAAAGACGTTCGGTTTCATCAGAGCGAGGGATGAAAGCAGAAAGCGGAGAAAGAGAAAAGTTCAGCACAGTTGCAATCTGACGAGTCAGATACACTGACACTCTCTTTCGTTCGACGCCACAAGGATACCCCTGTTTGACTGGACAAGAGCTGCCTGTACCACCGTGTCAAAAGGCTGTACATGGCAGGACGATGACTGAGGTAAGGAAGCTTTTACTCCGACGGTTTCGATTGGTCTGCTGAGCTGTTCTGTCGTTATGCTTGAATTTTTTTTTCCATTTTCAAGGAGCGTATCGCGTTTGTTTGATGTTGCTTAAATGAATGCCCTAAAAGTAATCAACCACTTCGTAATAGTCCTCAAGGACTGCAAGGACTTTGCATCAATCGTATATGATCGTCTAGCTATCATCAATTATTATTTTATTTCATGAGAAATGTATTTTTATCCCTGTGATAATTATGTGAACTCGTACTCCACGACACTCTTCCTGTAGTATGATGTCAAATACAATGGGATCCACAAACGCAGTGCCAGTGTACTAGTAGTAGTAGGACTAGGAGGATTGCTTGTATGCCAATGACAAGAAAAAGCTTCTCAAGCTAATACTCGTATTCCCTGAAGTAACCGTTTTGATGTCACGAACATGACATTGTGTCAGTGAAACTGCCTCGTGACAACAAATCATTGCATTTCCATCTTGGGGAAGACTGACTGACAGCAACGCTGTACAGATTGTTCAAATCATCTCATTTCAATTTAGTTGCAATGAAGTGAAACACTGTGTACACTACATGTATGTTGGTGTGTCTGTGCGTCTTGAGTGTGCACAAACAATCTTATTCTTCGTATTACTAATAGATTATTGTCCCCACCATCACCTGTTCACAGGTCTTTGAGTGGATTGATTTTCATTGAGCATCACATTCGTTGAGAACTTGGTAGTTGTGTGCTCCCATGCATCATTACGGTAATAAGCGTATCCTTGTGCTATCTATTTGTTGCAGGTGTGCTGATCTTCAGAAGCTTGCGGAACTGAGTGCTGCTGAACATTTGCATGGCCATGAGCAATGGTGAAGCTTGCTATTGCACTCTCAGCATGTGCTAGTATTATGCTGACCACTGCACTATGTTACTCTCTTACACTACTACGTGTATGTAAACGTGCGTGTACCCGTCCCCGTACGCATTCGTTTCGTATAATTATTTGTTATCCCTCTTGACTTTACATATAAATGGCTGGACGTTTGCATGGCTGTTGGAGTTGCGTGTGTATTGTGTCTCTACTCCTTTCTTGGTGTTTTCTTGGCGTTGTATAAGTTTGTGTGTGTGTGTGTGTGTGTGTGTGTGTGTGTGTGTGTGTGTGTGTGTGTGTGTGTGCCGGCAGCAGGACCTAGCCAGACATTTGCGGTCCTGCTTGTGATCCGTGTCCCGTTTTCTGGTCCCCTTTCCATAGGGGTGACACTTGCCCCTCTGGGCAGTCATGCTGCTAGTAGTAGTAGTAGTAGTAGTAGTAGTGTGTGTGTGTGTGCGCGCGCACAATAATTTGAAAACAAATAATTAATCCTGGGCTCTCCATTATTCTCTTTCGATTCTTGGTTTTTTTCTAGGTATTTTCTTGGCGTTGTGTGGGTGTGTGCATGTGTGTGTGTGCGTGCACAATAATTTGGCAACACTACATGATTGAGATATTGTAATTTGCAGCGTCTGCGAAGAGACCACTTGATTTGAGGATGGTGTTTGTAGGGTTTTTCATGTAATGAAGTGGCTGCAGTGGCGCCTCAATACATATTTTTTATCTTGAGAAGTGAATGATGTAAAGGATTAAAGGGAGAGGCCGCATTCTGGTTAATATTCACTGCTTACAGCAGATCCTATGTCTATTTTCGAACTCGATAGGGGATGCCTAATTGGCTGGACTTTATACAGGGGGTGTTGTCCACATAAAGACTCTTTATAGTTGATTTCAAAGTTTGGACTCCGTACAGTTGATTTTGGACCAATGGACTCTATATAGGGGTGATGCCAATTGGCTGGACTCTATACAGGGAGTGATGTCCATCGAAACTTTGAGCTCACAGTTGATTTCAAGTTTGGACTCTGTACAGTGGATTTTGGACCAATGGACTCTATATAGGGGTTGGACATCATATAGGGGCTGGACGCTCTACTGAGTCCAACATATATCTATATTTTCTTTTTCGTTCTGTCCTTCGTTTCATGCAGCCCAAATCGTTGCAGCCTAAGCTGACAATCATACCAACGGCCATGACTGTGGGCAATGGGTCTATCTACTTGGCAACCCAGGACTCGGCCAATCAGGACTCAGTCTACAAGGTGGAGGCTCGCCGTGGCACGTGGGCCATGATTCCGATACGAGAAAACATCCCTGGCTTATCTTCGATATCGCTGATCAGCTTCAGCGGTCCTCAGCGCCACTCGGCTTGTGAGGACGAAACCTTCTCGTGCAGTGGTGTGTGCCTCACAAATGAGCAGTCTGAACGCACGTGCTACTGCGAGCCTGGCAGTCAGCCAGCCGAGGTGCCGACCACCAACAAGTGGACTTGCCGAGGTATGTGTATGCGTGTGTGTGTGTGTGTGTGTGTGCGTGCGTGCGTGCGTTCGTGCGTGCGTGCGTCCGTGCAGGTGTACAGGTGTGTATAAGCGTGGTTTAGTTGCATGCAACGACATACTACAATGTAGCACAGCAACCTGCCAAGGTGACCACTTGGATACGTTAACCACCTGTCCCACAAGACCACTGCAACCACGACCAAGGGATGCTATTTCCAGTAAAAATTAATGACCCTGGATAAGGAGACCACCTGATAAGAGAGACCCCGTTTTGAAGGTGCCAAGGCTGGCTACCGATCCCTGTAATGTATTGGCTTTACCGTTGGACTGTGAAAAAAAAGGTCCCTTGAGCGGTCGTCTCAGACAGGCTTCACTCTAGTGGGATTTGTTCTCATTCACTTGTTCTGTTCTGTCTGTGTCCCCCCCCCCCCCCCTCCCCATGTGTGTTAGGTCCGGATCCAGAGGTCTTCATGGCCGGAGACAACACACTCCTGCAGTTGCACCTTACCATCCAGCGTCCTCTGGCACCGTCATCGCTGACTTTACCAGAATGTCCACACAGCAAGCCACACAACTGCTATGTGCTGGCTGTGGATCGTCTCCGCCATCGTATCTTCATAGCTGTCCGAGGAGGGCAAGTCATCTACGCCAGCTCCTACTTCAATGCACCTGACAAGCTGGTTCAGGTAATAGTGACATGGGCTTGATAGGCAAACGTGCAGATACACACGCACACAGACGGCCGGAAGAAGATGTGTGTGAATGTGTGTGTGTGTGTATGTGTGTGTGTGTGTGTGTGTGTGTGTGTGTGTGTGTGTGTGTGTGTGTGTGTGTGTGTGTGTGTGTGTGTGTGTATGTGCGTGTGTGTGTGTGTGCATGAATGTGTGGGGGGGGGGACGGTATGCGTGTGTGCAGCGTATGTGAGTGTGTATATTAATGTGTTCTTATATACGAAAGTTTAGTATGCAAGCCATGCATCTGAGTTGCCATAATCATGTGTACGTATGTCAGTATCCAAGTTTTTGAGTTGTGTATTCCCGGGACAAGTTGATATCACTTCTGCTGTAGCCGCGCTATTATCGCCTCTGACGAGGGGCGTCCAAAGTCAAGGTCAATGTGTATGTTGTGCCGCATTCGAGTGCACGTAATAGAGTGTGTAGCTGCTAGGGCTGTGGATTGACCCGTGCTTTTTTGTTCATGAGGCTGGATTGTGTTCTCCTGTAATTCCCTCATTGACCAGGTACTCAACACCGGTAGTCCCCTCTCTTCTGGCATCGGCGGCATGGACTTTGATGTCCAGTCCTCCAATCTCTTCTGGACGGACTCACGCTCAAATTTTGTGGAAGTGGCGCACATCGACAGAAGCACAGGTGCTGCACTTCATCGAACACTGCTGATCAAGAAAGGGCTGCATCATCCCCATCACATTGCTGTTGATCCTGTTGAGGGGTGAGTTTGTATGCTTCTTTCAAGTCACTGTCTCTCAAATGCACCATTGGGTTGTGAATGTCTCTATCTAGAGTTCTGGCCAGAGAAATTCGACTTCATATTTAATATACTAGCGCTGCGTTCGAGTGCCAACGCATTGTGTGTAGTGCTAGGGTTGTGTATTGTCTGGTGCTATTCTATTTATGGGGTTGGATTTTTCTGGCCAGTACCTTATCTCAGTATGGCTGCTGCTGCTTTTGCTGTTAATGCTCTATAGTTACTTGTTGTGCTGCTGCTGTTTTCGGTGTTTCTGGTGTTTGGCATGGATGGTAGCGATGCTGGTTCTAATGTTTCTGGTGATATTCTTGCTGTTTTTAATGTTCCTGGTGGTGTTGATGCTGTTGCTGATGGAGTTTTCTGCTAAGGTGTTGCCACTTGTGTTGTTGGCATATGCAGTCAAATAATAATTATTACATATTCTTACTTGGTGCTGTCTGGTGTCTTTGCCATTCCAACAGAGTCATGTACGTGTCGATGCACAATCATGCGCGGAACGAGTCTTCCGTTGTTGTGGCAACGATGCATGGCCGAACAGTGGTCAAGGATGTGTACCGCGCCTGGGGCAGTAAGCCCGCGGTGCACTCCATGGTACTACATAGACACCGGTACAAGACGCCCAGTCGCCTATCACTGCCCTCGCTCTTTCTTGCCGTCGGCGCGGACATTTTGCACGTGGACGTGACGGACTGGGCTCGCACACGGCCCGTGCACACGTTTACCAATGCCAACATCACGTGCGATCACCTGGCCCTGTCACAGCACGCTCTGCTGTTCACAACTAAAGGTATTGTGTTATTCATGCGTGACTGTTGTAGTTTGCCCCGCCTGAAAGCAGCCTGGCCTGTGAACGTCTGCAGCGTCTTGAATGTGATGTAACTTATAAAATGAGCCGTCAGATGAGAAAACAGACCTTATCGCAAAAACTGTACAGTGCAGAAAAGTGCACTTGAAAGTTGGCGAGTTTACCCACTGGTGCGTCTAGACAACCAAGCTTCAAACCGTCGTAATTCAGTCAAATATCGGTCTTTCGGGACAATCCAAGTATGTAAATCGAAGAGAAAACTCCAAGGAATCCAATGCAGCAAGCGCGATCGCGGCACGATGCTGCGTTCCCGAGATGCGAAGCCTGCAAGATACGTCACGGCACTTTGCATTTCTAGTACACGCGAGTCAAACGCTCCAGACCTGGGGTTTCCCCCTTTTCAAGCGATCTACGATCTCGGCAACAGGCTCAGATGTCTTGGAAGCGCTCACTGCATCTTCAAGAAAAAAATTGGGCGTCCTGGGATAATGGAGATGGAAATGGCGAGCGATTTTCGTGTGACGGCGCAAGTCTAGCGCTGAAGCGATGTCTGCAGCTTGTTGCGCTGGAGCTGTGCTTTATTTGCTATCGGATTTGGGCCCAACCAGTTGCTTGTCGCCAGAGCTTTCCAGAAAGCCCAAGTTTGTGGAAATCGGTCAAAGGAAACAGAAAATATTATCCAAAGTAGGTGAAACAATTGTTGGTATTGCACCCAAAATTGAGGTGCAATTTGTAATGGTCTCCTGCTGTCGAGGCTATAACTTTGCTTTCCCTGGTCCAAATCAACTCTAGTTTTCTGCATACGATTCCTGGTGCTCATGGCAATCAGATAGTACCACAAACAAAAATATGACTTTTTTGTGATAAGGTCTGTTTTCTCATCTGACGGCTCAAATGATACTGCAGTCAACATATCAGGGAAAGTGGTAACACCTCAAGACTAGAAGACCTGGACAAAAATCAAGAATATCCTTTACAAATGTTCGTCAGAATGTGTATATGACCCCCTTTGTTGCTGTGATCGTTTTTCTCATTCTCTGCTTCTGTTTCGTTCAATGTGCAACTGCTGTTTTCTGCTATTGCCGGGCTGGTAGGCTCCAGTCGAGAGCTGTTCTCGGCAGAGATTGATGTCGGTCTTCCAGATTCAGGACGACCGCTGAGCCTGCACAAAGCTCAGCCCCTCTCACCGGTCACTGTCTCTTCACCTATTGCATACGGTGGAAGTCTTGCAGCCGGTAAGAGTTTGTGGTGATGTGTGCTTCCGCTCGTTGTCATCTCCCCTTGTCTTGACATTATAAAATT